CAGTGAGTGCAATATCACAAAATGCTGGTCAGCCAGCTTGTGCAGAAGCTGACTCACCTAGCTAAGTGGAAGATTCATAATATTACTAAATATTACTAAATTTGCAGATGAGACAACAGTGGTGGGACTCATCTCCGGGGAGATGAGTCTGCCTACTGAGATGAGGTGGACCGGTTGCTTTCGTGGTGTGGAGACAATACCTTGGTCCTCAACACCCTAAGACCAAGGAGCTTATAGTGGACTATAGAAGGAACAGATCAGACCTCCAGCCCTTGCTTATCAATGGAGACCAAGTGGAGCAAGTGGCCAGTTTTAAGTTTCTGGGTGTTACCATAAAAGAGGAGCTGACTTGGGGTGCCCACATTGCAGCCCTGGTCAAAAGGGCCCAGCAGAGATTATACTACCTGAGGCTTCTCAGAAAACAACAACTGAATGAAAAACTGCTGGTGACCTTCTACCACTGCACCATAGAGAGTATCTTAACTTCCTGCACCTCTCTATGGTTTGCCAATTGCACAAGGGCAGATAGGACAGCACTCCAGAGGGTTAACGTCATTGCCCAGAGGATCATGGGTTGCCCTCTCCCCTCTTTGGAAGAGCTTTAGAGCTCCCGCTGCCTTAAGAAAGTTCAAAACATTCTCAAAGATCCATCTCATCCTGGGCACCCTTTTTTTGATCTATTACCATCTGGCAGACGGTACAGGATAATAAAAACAAGGACAAATAGGCTGAAAAACAGCCTCTATCCCAGGGCAGTAGCTCTCTTGAATTCTGCTGTATATACACTGAAGATGGTATTTAATTTCTTTGTACGATGTGCAATGACAATAAAGTAAAGTAAACTGATCGAGGAAAAGAGATTTAAGTGCCAATACTGCTATCATTTAAAGATAGCGATGGATTGATATGAAGTTCTTCTTGAGAATATTTGTAGTTGAGGGCTGAACTGTGAGGTCCTTGATGCTCTCTGAGCTTGGTTGTTTTCTTGCAGACGTTTCATTACCCAATTAAGTAACATCATCACTGCCAGGTTGGGTGATGAAACGTCTGCAAGGAAACAACCAAGCTCACGGACCTTGAAGTACACCTCAGAGGTTTTTCCCATGGTCCAAATGTAGTCAGAGGTTGACCATCATATTCTCTGCCAGATGCAATTTTTGCATTGTGATAAGAGCAATTTCATGGAGAACATACAACACGTCAATCTTTCTTAACCTGGTGCAGTCTAAATGCACTGAACTTCTGTATCCATAATGTGCAGCCTACCTATGGTAGATCCTTCTTAATTTTTTTTTCCTGATAATTAAGCCATGGTGGCACAGTGGTTAGAGTGCAGTACTGCAGGCTACTTCTGCTGGCTGCTGGCTGCCTGAAATTTGGCAGTTCAAATCCCACCAGGCTCAATGTTGACTGAGCCTTCCATCCTTCCGAGGTGGGTAAAATGAGGAGCCAGATTGTTGGGGGCAAGAGGCTGACTCTGTAAACCACTTAGAGAGGATTGTAAAAGCACTGTGAAGCGATATATAAGTCTAAGGGCTATTATGAAGGAAGGAAGGAAGGAAGGAAGGAAGGAAGGAAGGAAGGAAGGAAGGAAGGAGCGAGCTGTGGTGGCATAGTGGTTAGAATGTAGTATTGCAGACTGACTCTGTCGACTGTCAGCAGTTCGATCCTGACCAGCTCATGGTTGACTCAGCCTTCCATCCTTCCGAGGTGGGTAAAATGAGGACCCAGATTGTTGGGGGCAAGAGGCTGACTCTGTAAATTGCTTAGAGAGGGCCTGTAAAGCACTGTAAAGCAGTATATAAGTATAAGCACTATTGCTAGGTACCTTCTGAATGGATGAATTCACATATTCCAGATCATATCAGAAACCTTACATGCAGACATTTCCATGATCTAAACATTCTAGAAGTTATACCTATTTTTCTCTCCAAAGGAAGGCAAATAGCTCACAATTTAAATAAGCTAGCAGACACCGGATGTGCTTTCCTAAGATACAGGTCCTCCTCGACTTACAACCGTTCATTTCATGACTGTTCAAAGTTACAACTTTGAAAAAAGTGACTTTACGACCAATGTTCACACTTACAACCATTGCAGCATCCCCATAGCCATGTGTTCAAAATGTGGGCACTTGGCAACTGACTTATATTTATGACATTTGCAGTGTCCCCAGGATCAAACTCAATGGGGAAGTCAGATTCACTTAACAACCGCGTTACTAACTTAACAATGGCAGTGATTCACTTAACAATGGTGGCAAGAAAGTCATAAAATGGGACAAAATTCACTTAACAAATGTTTCACTTAGCAACGGAAATGTTGGGCCCATTTGTGGTCGTAAGTCAAGGACTACCTGTATAGACAGCAACACAAACTTCCTGTTCTGTGAGATATGTACCATTATGATACTAAGAAGGAAAAGAGTAGAAGCTACAATAAACATAAATTTAAAATGACAATTGGGTTCAATATTGACAGTCTGCTTGTACATCAATCACGAAGCTTTTGAGTGACTAGAAAGAAAAGATATATAATCTGCCAATGTTAGACCTGCTTTCTTTCTTTGAAAATTTTTTTGAAATCTGCAATCAATGAGTTGTGGTTTAAATATCATTGTCCTAATGAGCGTTCTGTTATCGGATGACATTGTTTAATTCTGGGAAAAAAAAGATATCACAATCGAGAGAGAGGAACACAGGTGCATGTTTTAATTTCTTTAGACTCGATAGGCCATTCTGTCAATATTACCACCCGCCAATCAAGTTATATTTGGAAACCTTTTATGCCTATAATTTTTGACATCTGCCTTTATTTTTCGTTTGCATGAATTGTGGTTGGCATGATTGTGTACTTTTTGGCATGATGGTTACGTTGTGTTGAATCCATGTGTTTACAGTCGTTATGGGGCATTTGTAGGTTTTTATGTCTATAATTTTTCTCCCTTTGTTTTTGTTTTTTTTGTTTTGCTTTTTGTTACTAAATTTTAAATATCCTTGGAGAGTAAAAGTGGCATGAAACTTTGGTGACCAAAATAAACACATACACTCATATTTGGAATATGCAATAATACGTAATAAACCTTAGGATCAAGTTTCAGGTAGTCCCACAAAGGATTGGAGCCACTACCAATTAATCCAGGGGTGACTTCCTTTGGGTACTCCTGCTATTTCGAACCGTGGTGGGATTCAAACATTTTTTACTACCGGTTCTGTGGGCGTTGCTTGGTGGGTGTGGCTTGATGGGTGTGGCAGGGGGAGGTTACTCTAAAGTCTCATTTCCCACGCCACTCCAGGGAAAGGATACTGTAAAATCCCCATTCCCTCCCCACTCCTAGGGGAAGATTACTGCAAAATCCCATTCCCACCCCATCCCACTAACCTGCTTTCCAGCCCCGTTCTCCTGTTCAGGCCAACCAAAGAAGACCCAGCCGATCAGCTGGGATTCGGGAGGCAGAGAATGGATGGAGTTTGGGGCCAGTCAGAAGTGGTATTTGCCGGTACTCCGAAGTACTCAAAATTTCCGCTACCAGTTCACCATGTTGAGTGAAACTTAAAATTTAAATATCTGTTGAGCCTCAGATTTCCTACTTCTGGTTTTAGGAAACATTGCAGGTAGTCCTTGACTTACGACCACAATGGGGCTCCAAATTTCTGTTGATAAACAAGACAATTGTTGAGCAAGTTTGGCCCCTTTTTTTGACCTTTCCTGCTACAGTTGTTGAGCGGATCACCGTAGTTGTGAAGCGAATAACACAGCGGTTTGGTGAATTTGGCTTTGACTTTTTGATCGTCAGAAAGTCGTAAAAGAGAATCACATGACCCCGGGACACTACGACCATCATAAATATGAACCAGTTGCCAAGCATCTGAACTTTGATACCATGGGAATGTTGAAACTGTCATAAGTGTGGAAAACAGTCATAAGTCACTTTTGTCAGTGCCGTTGTAACATCAAACAATCACTGAGCAAGTGATTGTAAGTCAAGGGCTACCTGTACACTTCTAATATACAGAGATCTTGTCCCGATGGTACATTTTTCAACTGGACTTTATGGTTTTTCTTGGATGGCGTTTCGCTTCTCAGGTGGCCTCAATGACTCTCCAAAAAGATGCAAATGACCAGCTGTCTGCAAGGAATATAAATCCTTCCATTCCCCCACCATCCAAGTGAAACATTTTTCTTCTCATCCAAGAAGAAGCTTCTTAGATGAGAAGCAAAACATCTCCAGAGAAAAACCAGAAAGTCCATGTCAGGTTTCCAAGTGATGAAATCCATTGAAAAAGAATAAAACCAAGTCCATCTTCCAATACAACTTCTTTTATTTTAGAAAGCATCCAATTGGCAAAATCCGTGGTAATTCCGGATCTGACACAATCTGGAATTACCCCACAATATTAAACATTAAAAACAACCCTCCAAAGTTACATTCTCCAATAGAAATTGCTTGATATCATAAATCTCCACCTCAAGGGCCTAAGCACAGACAGCTCGTTTCCCACAGGAAGAAGAATCACTTAGCCAAAACAACTCTCTTTATCTCCACTCCTCCCCACTTAGGAATGTGGCAAGCCCGAAACTCTTCTCCCCCTTCCCCCCATCTTCCCCCCCTCCCCCCCATGACTGCCACAGAGAAAGTAAGAAAAAGCATATATACTAAGCCTAATTTTGAAATGGCTACACATATATCAATTTCGGGGTTGACAGTCCAGTTGCCTCTTGAAAAAAAACACCTGCGGGATAACCACGACCTGGATGAGACTGAGAATCTCCAGAGACATAAAAGAGATCTTTAAAAAATCTTTCAAGATCTCAAGCACCTTCGACTCTTTCCCTCCTTTGTTTGCTTCTCAATGCTTGGTTCTTGAGGCCAACGAAAGAAATTGAACACGGTCACCACAGTTGTTTCCCACTTTTACCAGCCTAGTTGTTTTGTCAGCATGAGTGTGACAACAATTAGACGTCCTTGTTTTTTCGGCCATGCCTCTTTTCCTTCACAGTCATTCAATGACAAGCGTAAAAAGAACTTCATCTTTTCACGAAAATTCCCATTCTACAAGAGCAAGGAGATGTGTGATCAGGACACCAGTGACCCGGAACGTAAGTAAAAATGTTTTAGAGACGACGTCACAGCGAAACACGTGGGTGATACGCACGGCACTTCATATACCTAGGCAAGCTTAAGTCAGGTTCAGGACAGGTGAGGCCTTACTACTATGATCAATGTATATAACTGTCTGGATTCCCTGTGGGGTTTACGGGAGGAAAAAGAAGTAAATTTTTATATCTCTACTGTGTGAACATGGGTTGGCCACCGTTCCTTCATTTGGTCTATCTCAAATTTTGGTTAAGGAGAAAGCCACGCCTTATAAAAATAATGTTTTGGGGACCGGGGTTTCATAACTGTCTCCATCTTAGCTAGTGATGTGGGTAGTCCTTGATTTGCAACCGATCATTTAACAGCCATTCAGAGATACAACAGTACTGAAATAGGTCCTTGGTGCTCTCCGGGCTGGGTTGTTTTTACTAGCATGGATGGCATTCGTTAGTTTGGGTCATGAAACGTCTGCCAGAAGACAACCAAGCTCAGAGAGCAACAAGGACCCCTCAGGTCAACCCTGAGCTACAAATATTATCCGTTATTGGTACTGAAAAATGGTGAGTGGCATGGTAGCCTAGAGGTGGAACTCTTCTTGCCTCACAAACAGGAGGTTGTGAGTTCGATCCTAGGTAGCAGCAGAAATTTTTCTCTCTAGGAACAAAGAGAATTGATAAAAATTGGATCACCAACATGACCACCAACATTCAATGACGAATATGGCACAAGAAGAAGACGAGCAAAGATAAAATATCTGCTGTGAACTCCGTGTAGGCATCAGGGAGGGCAGCCAGCCAGTAAATGCTCAGTTTCATTCCCTGACTTGACTGAAAATTTAGGGATTACGGGGTCATTAAAAGGAGAAAAAAAATGGTGCTGGAAAAGATGAGTTATGACCTGTCCTCGCACTTATGACTATTGCAGCATCCCCATGATCACATGATCAAAACATGGGCATACCAGAATGCATTTTTAACAGTTGCAGTGTCCCAAGGTTTCCTGATCACCATTTGCAATTCTCCCAGCCATCTCCCAAGCCAGATACACTTAACAACTACATGAACCTTTTAACAACTGCAGCTATTCGCTTAATGACCATGGCCAAAACAAAGGTTGTAAAATAGAGTATGATTCACTTAACCGCCACCTTGCTCAGCAGCAGGCATTCTGGTCTCAAGTTGAGGACAACCTGTACTCCTTGGTAAATTGTGCCTGTGAGTTCCCACTCCAACATTTATAGCTTCGACTCATTAGCTTGACAGTTCAGTCTATTGTACTGGAAGGCTCTTGATAATGAGATGGCTTGGATTAGTTCCCAGCTATTTAGAAAAAAAGGGGGAGAGGGGGAAAGTGTCTTATCTGTGAAAATCAGATATCGGATTGAAATTTTCCCACTTTTCCGCTTCACAGAATGCAGCCAGAGTGGAAAATTAAGGTGCGAGCATTTCTAAGCCATACAGTACGAGAGAGAGAGAGAGAGGGAGGGAGATTATTAGTCTCCACTGGATTTAATATCTATTATTGGGCATTTGGTAGAGTGGTGCGGTGGCCTAGAGGTGGAGCTCTCACCTCACCATCAGGAGGCTATGAGTTCAATCCTAGGTAGGGGCAGATATTTCTCTCTCTGGTCACAATGAGAATATATCTGCTAAACAAAACTCCTCATTGGTGACAGGAAGGGCATCTGGCCAGGAAACACTCAGCTCCATTCAGACTACAACCCTGCAAGGGATTATGGGGTGATTAAAAGAAGATAATGATTGGGCCTTTAGGGGCATCTAGGGAGTGTGATGGCTCTGCATGAGTGAGCTTACCAGCTGAAAAATTGACAGCCCGGGTTCAAGACCCAAGCGCTGTGTGAAGGAGAGTTCTTGTTCCTAGCTCCAGTTCCTGCCCTTTTTTCAGTGCCATTGTAACATCAGCCCCCTAAACAAATCGTTGTAAGCCAAGGACTACCTGTATTATTTTTTTTTCCTAAAGAGAATCTTTTGCTTTCTCACTTTAACCACATCTCTTTGGCTTCCACGAAAGTCTTTGAATCGGGAGATTAAGCCTTATTTTTGCTCAAAATGTGGGAATCCAGATTGGATTATCTGCATGGTCTGTCATGGTAGTATCCATTTCAACTGCACTGACCTGTTCCTTCCTTTTCTGCGGGTGTTTTTTCCTTTCATTGCTCTCTCCGGGGACTGCCGTGCAGGACTTCCCCGGATTAGGGGACGACGGTTATGGGACAAAGACTCTGAGTAAGTTCCCAGGAATGGTCACTTATAACCCTTTCTTTGGAAATAACTTTGTTTTTCATTTCATTTCTTTTTTTCTTCTTCTTACTTTTAAAGTTTGGCTTTTGTTTTTTTCTTCCTAAAGAACCTTCTTCTCCTCCTTCTTGAGCATGCACAAGATTTAGATTTTACTTTTGGTCCCCAGCTTTGAATGCACTTGGTGGGGGGAGGGGAGGATTTTTCATTGTATTTTATGTTCTGCATGACAACCTTAATAGCATATAGCCTATGCAATGATTATGTTGATCTCTGATGATAACAACATTGTTTCTAGTACAATGCATATTGGTGGTCCTTTGGTGAGCATGAATTTCTTCAAAAAGAAGATCACTGCTTCTTTTAAAACAAGCTTAGGATTCTTGAAAAGTTGAAAAACAGATCCCCAGTCAAAAAATAGTTCATAATGAAGAAGCTGCCCAAGAGCTGACTTATCCAAAATGGATGGTAGGGTGTGAGGTTGATGATGAAGAAGCTGTCTGAAAGATGACTTATCTAAGATGGACAGTAGGGAATGATTTGATGTTGAAGAAGCTGCACCAAAGACGATTGGTCCAAGATGGACAGTAGGGTACAAGGTTGATATTGAAGAAGCTGCTCAGAAAATGACTTATTCAACATGAACAATAACAAGTAAAATTGATGTTGAAGAAGAAGCTGCCCAAAAGATGATTTGTCTAAGATGGACAGTAGGGAGTAAGGTTCATGATGAAGAAGCTGCCCAAAAGATGACCTATCTAAAATGAACAGTAGGGACTAATTTGATGTCGAAGAAAGTGCGCAAAAGATGTTTGATCCAAGATGGACAGTAGGAAATAAGGTTGATGATGAAGAAGCTGCCCAAAAGATAGTTATATCTAAGGTGGACAGTAGGGAGTAAGGTTCAAGATGAAGAAGCTGCACAGAAGATGACTTATCCACGACGGACAGTTGGGATTAAGCTTGATGTTGAAGAAACTGCCGACAAGATGATTGACCCAAGATGGACAATAGGGACTAAGGTTCATGATGAAGAAGCTGTCCAAAAGATGACATGTCCAAGATAGCTAATAGGGTGTGTTGTAAAGTAGAAAAGTGGGATACAAATACTTTAATTCAGTAATAAAGATTTAATAAATAGAGGTATCAGATATTTCCTTTTTTTCTGTCATTTTTCTTCTTACATGAGGACCATGCACAGTAGATGAGACAATATATAATCAGTGCTAATTTTCAGTGTAGGTATCATTTCTTGCCTTTCCTTGATATGCACAGACTAAAATGATATCAGAAGATTTATACATAGAATATTTATTCTAGGACTTCTTCTCATTTCATGCTGAGATGATCCATCTTCAACTTTGGCCAACCTTGTGCATTCTGAAGAATCCAGAAGTTTGGGGGCAAAAGACAAGACATTGGGCAAAACAATTCCCAGAATGCAGTAAATCACTCTTTTGAAGATTTGGTAGCTCAGTTCTAGTGATCAGAAGTTGCATCAAGGTGGCACTTCAACTTCAGTTCTTCACATAACTTTCATTTCACATAAAACAGTTGGAGATGGTTAATGTTCTTTCTTCTCAACTTTCATCCTTGTTCTTCTTTCCACTGCCTTAAAAGGAACATTTTCTGATTAATAATTTTAGCAGATTGCAATTTCATGTTCTTTGTAGCAGAAGTCAGATCTGAAAGTGTTTCCCTTTAGGGCTAATAACGTTTCTGTTAGTGAATCAAACATTTGACTTCCACCTCAACAAAGAGAGATCATAAAGTTATAAAGCCGGTCAAATCCTAGACAGATATTCAAGATCTTAAGGCATTTTCCTTGCATCTGAGCCTAAGATACCACAGTTCCTCTGGATGTCAGTTAGTTAAGTCCTTTAAAGAATCATTAGATAAATCAGTTCAGAAATGCAGTAGTAGTTTGATTCTAGATTACTCATTTTCAAACTATGCCAGTGGTGGCATGCTGCCGGTTTGCACTGGTTCTAGTGATCCGGTAGCACTGGTCAGCAGTTGGCCCCACCCTTGTCCTATATTTCCTTTGTTTGTAGCTCAGTTGATAGGCGTGGCAGAACGGATTCCTGCACCTCAGCTGTTTGATTCACCAGCACTGACAGTAGATAAGTTTTCATGCTTAAAATTGCCCATTTTAGAATGCTCCCACAGAACGCACGCCCACAGAACCGGTAGTAACATATTTTGAATTCCACCGTTGAACTGTGCCATAGTTCAAAACAAGTTCAGGCAAACAAGCTGTCTTGTCAGTAGCAATTTCACGTTGTTGCAAAGTGCAACCATGGCTCAATGTTGATCATATTCTCAAAGTGGCTACTTTGCAAATGTCCTAGAACACAACGGGTGACATTCCCATCCATCACAGCCTTGCTGGAGGCGCAGGATAAGAACTGCAACCTTACACAGTTGAAGGGGATCTCATCCAGCATGACAGTTTCATTCAACATCTGTTAAAATGTTGAAGAAACAATGCCCTCTAGATCCTACCTCTGGGTCTAAAGGGCAGCATTGAGTATCTTCTGCAGACATGGGGAGGTTTTAAGAGAACTTCTAAAACAAGCATTAACTAGAATACGACTGTTGCAGTTGTGTCCTAGTTTAATTATATGTGGAGAAAGCACCGATGGAAAATTTGCGCATACATTTAGAGAATCCATATTTTGGTCTGTTTCAAAGTATAGAATTGGGAGATACCTTAGAGGTCTTCTAGTTCCATGCAGAGCAGGGATCTTCAAAACATTCCACACAAATAGCTGTGCTTGGAAGCTCCAATGATAGAGCATTCATGACTCCAGAGGGCAGGCTGCTTCACTGCTTCATGGATCTCACCATCAAGAAACTCCTCCCTAATTTTCAATTTGAATCTCTCTTTGTTGAGATTCCCCCCCGTTGGGTTTTCTCCTACCATCAAGCATGATAGAGAATACATTCACAACTTTTCTCCATGACAGCCCTTAAGTAGAACATAGAACATAGAATAATAAGGTTGGAAGTGAGCTTGAAGTTCTTCTAATCCAAACCCCCTGCTCAAGGCAGCCCAGTGAAATGGTTGTCCAATCTTTTCTTGAAAGTGATGGAGCACCTACAACATGAGGAGGGGAAGCTATTCCGTTGATTAATTCTTCTCACTGTCAGGAAATTTCTGCTTAGTTCTAGGTTGTATCTGTTCTGACCAAGGCTTTCTGAGACTGTAATTAAGCACACACTTAGTCCAAACAACTCTTGTTTTACTTCAACGCTGGGAATTATGTTCATTCCCAGCCCGTAAGGAATCCCAGTCTCTTGAGATAAGCACCCACCTTTATCTTCTTTAAATTGCTGCCAACAACTAAAGTTCCAAATGAATAAAAAAAAAACCCGACTGAAGTACAGTCTACACAGAGCTTCAAGGATTAATCCGAACAGAACAAATGACTTTGCTTTCTGCAAAGGTTTCTTCACCTTTGCCTGTCCTTTATACCTTACGGGAGGGGCAATCACATCCAAGCCTTACTCCTGAGTCACCCCTTTTGTGTCAGCTGCTCTTGCCTTCTAGCTGCTCTGAGCACATACGCACTGGGAACCCTCAGATGGCCCTGGTACCATCTCTGTATCGGATGCAGAACCCTCATCCAAGTCCTCCCCAAACTCCAGAACTGGCCCATGTTCCTGCCAGGCTCCACAGGCCACCAGTGGACCACAACAGCTTCTCCCCTGACTTTGCTCATCAGACGATCTCAAAAGGGAATCACGTGATCCAGGGACACTTTGACTGTCATAAATATGAGCCGGTTGCCGAGCATCGGAGTGACCATGGGGAAGCTGCAATGGTCATAAGTGTGAAAAATGGTCATAAGCCACTTTTTTCAGTGCCATTACAACTTTGAGCAGTCACAAACTGAAAGGTTGTAATTCGAGGATTGCCTACACATTGTATAATACAAACAACAATACAATTTTGATCATTATTGTTATGTATAATAATAATGGCAACAACAAGTATTGCCCCAGCCACTATCCAGTGGATGTGACGATACCTGGAGACAGTAGAATAGAAAAGAAATAACTGGAGAAGACCACAAAACATAAAGACCTGCAAATAGAAATAGAATGACTGTGGTAGAAGCAAGCCAAGGTAGTACCAATAATCATAGGTGCCTTGGGTCCAATCCCAAAACAACTGGAGCACCACTTGAATACCATTGGCCTTGACAAATTTGCCATTGGTCAATTGCAAAAGGGTGCTTTACTCGGACCATCCTGCGACGACATCTGCATTACCATCAAACCTCCACATCTGTCTATCCCGAGTCCTTGCAAAGGACTCAGTGAGTAGACAGAAACAACTGGAGCACCACTTGAACACCGTTGGCATTGACAAATTTGCCATCAGTCAATTGCAGAAGGAAGTTATACTTGGAACAGCTTCTATCCTGCAACAGTATCTGTAGCACCGTCAAACAGCTAAATGTGCCCATCCCAGTTCCTTGGTAGGGACTCAACGGGTAGACAAAAATGCCAAATCCAGTTTGAACATCTGGCATGACTGTTTAACCAACAACAACAATGATAATAACAACTGGAAAAAAATCACAAAATATCACAACCTGGCCATCAAATCTATGCGATTATGGATGAAACATGTAACAGTGATACCTATTGTCATTGGGGCACTTGGTACCATGTCCAAGAATTTTACAAAACACATCAAGAAATTGCAGCTTCCTGCAAAAACACCAGTGGAGCTGCAAAAATCTGCGCTACTGCGTACATTTTAAGAAGATACTTGGTTGATACCTAGGATGCTGGCAGCCACCTCTATCAACCGTCAATGGTATCTGTGATACATTTTTAAATGTTCAAGTTGGTTGAGTTTAATTTTTAATGAATAAAAGAGATAATAATAATGGTAATGATAATAGTCTGGATAGTGGGTGTGGCAGTGTCTGGAGACAGCAGAAGAGAAGAGAAAGAATTGGAGAAGATAACAAAATAGAAATAGAACGGCTATGGCAAAGGCAAGCAAGGGTAGTACCAACAGTAATAGGCGCCTTGAGTGCAGCCCCGAAGCAACTGGAGCACCATGTGAACACCATAGGCATTGACAAATTTGCCATCAGTCAATTGCAGAAGGCAGCTTGACTTGGAACAGCTTCCATCCTGTGGCGATATCTGTAACATCATCAAACATCCAGATTTGCCTATCCCAGGTCCTTGGTAAGGACTCGATAGGTAGACAAAAATGCCAAACCCAGTCGGAACATCTGGCTGGCTGTGCGATGAATAATAATAATAATAATAATAATAATAATAATAATAATAATAATAATAATA